GTGACACCAACTCTGCAAAATACATGCAAAATATTACTAGCAAAGTGCTTTCTCCTGGTATCCTAAGCCCTGAAGAAGAACTTGTTTGCATTTTTTTCCAAATATAACATTTATGTTCTTAAAAATATTACCTCTCTCTACAAAGTGGGCTCTTACAGCTTCATCAAAGCTACTGATGCTTGCTCTCTTCCCATCTGGAGCCAAAAAACAGCAGGTGGAGAACAAGGATATGTTTTGGGCTGAGCCTCCACATTGTCATTCAGAAGATCTCTAGTTTGAGCATTCATCCTGTCAGCTACTTTGTGAGATGCTTAATCTCTGTGCCAACTTATCTCATCTGTATAGCAGGATAATAACTCTTGTCTTCTTCAGGAACAGAGTTCATTTCTTACTACAGCATCTAGTATGGTGGGAAGCCAATGTACTCTTAACCTGCGCCAACACTATCTGCAGAAGCTGTGAAAGCAGAGCCAGCATCTTGGTGACCTGGAACAGGCTAAAAAGTCCATGGAAGAAGTAGGTATCTGCACTGGATTTAAAAAAAAAAAATAAGTAAAAGTCAGAATAGAAGACCTTCTGTCAGTCTAAAGTAACTAGACACTTACCCATGCAAGCATATGAATCAAAGCATTGTCCAGCCCTTGTTCAAACTCAGCAAGCCAGAAAGTCAAATTGCTTTTCAAAGGTATGTCACACAGTTAAAGGACAAAGGTTCCTACGTACTTGAGGTACAGGGCAGGCAGTGATCCACATTCTTTGTAGGAACAGTGACCACAACACAAACTGCTTCAAGTTGGCAAACACAGCTAAATATTAATGACAGCAGCTTTGAATACTGCTGTTCAAGAGAAAATCCAGAATATGGGATGTCGTGAAACTGGACTGGCTAAAGCGAAGCATGTTCCACAATCCACACATGAAGAAACATGCAGAGGTAAAAATCTGTTATAAATCAGCCTGAAAATTGGTCTGAATCATGAATCATTCTGGAAGAGAAAATACAGATATATGTGTCAGTGTGGACAATATCAAGTGTTCAGACATCAGGATCCCATTTCCCAAAACCATAAGACTGTTTTTGAAAAAGGTCTAAACTAAATAAATGCTTGTGATTGTTGTATTTTACTTCTAATGCTGCCCTCAGCTTCCATTTTCTAACATTCTTCACAATATTCCTTCAGACCGAGACTCCTACGTAACCCCCTGAATCCAGAAGCTGGAATATAAAATAAGAGCAAACAAACAGCTATTATGAACTGCCAGAGACAGCGATATGATTAACCATGAATATCATTAACGTCTCTGTTAGCACATAGTACAGAATAATAAGGTAGAACAGGACAAATGTACAGTGATCTTGGATATCTTCCAAAGCCTAGAACAATAGGGAGAATAATAGCCACTCCAAGATGAACCAGAAACTTTATCAATATATTCAAAGTGGGAAAATTTCCATTTTTCAATGCCATAAGAAATATAGCAGAAAGTGAACTGATAATATTCACATATGGAAGTTACTTAAAACTTAAACTGATCTGTATGCTGGGTTATTTGTAAATGAAAAGCCAGCCAGCTCATGGGAACCCACTGGGGCATGAGATATAAAGAAAGCTATAAACCACGAAGATGAGCGGCAGAAAGCTTTCAGAGATAGCTTAACTCTCAGAAACAAAGACATTCTCAATCTGAAATGCAGCGCCTGTGGTTTTTGCCATCCAAAGTTAGATTATTCAGGCTGTAAGGTAGCGATCTATTTGGATGTTATACATTTAAATGAACACCATTTGACATTCATTCTGTCCCCAAAGCACTCCAAAGAGCTAACTGCACTGATTTTTGAGGGATTACAAAGCGATGAAGTTTTCTTGGATGAAATTTTCATTTTAAGGCTGAGGCCTTAAAACAGTACAATGAAATACTGCTTTTTTTTTTTTTTTTTTTTTTACTGACACAGACACAAAGCCTCCTAACATAAAATTTTGAATACTACAATTTTTTTTTTTTTTTTTTTTTTTTTTTTTTTACTGACACAGACACAAAGCCTCCTAACATAAAATTTTGAATACTACATACTAGTCTGAAAAAAGCTCTTTGTAGGGTCTGCTCAACTGCTTTCAACAGTGATTCAGGTGAAAGAAAGTGATAGTTAAATGTATATATCATGATGAAATAAGAAACATATCCTCACTATGAGAGTGATAAAGCCATGGAAGCTCCTGCAAAGAGAAATACAGCATTCATATGCTACGTTCAGCATAAAGCAGGTTTAGCAAACACAGGTTAGTCAACTTAATCTGAGGTCAACCGAGGATATTTCACGGTTTATGACATATAGGAGAGGAGATTATGTGATCCAAATGCATAAATCCTACAAATATACAGGTTTAAAGAAAGATATAACGCACAGGCAAAATCCAGTTCATAGTAAGAGACAATTGTACATTCCTAGTATAAGTCAATAAACTGATGTTTAGCACTGCAGGGGAAAGATGTAAGCATAGTTCTCTATTAAAGTCAAAGAGCAAGGGAAAAATCTGCACCTGTGCCTGCAGGTGTGACAGGTATTAGTTGCACCAAAGTCACCCAAACAGAGACATGACAGACACTTATTATCACCATGCCTGCCAAGACCAACCACAGCTGAAGCCAGAACACAGTTAGGAGAAACATTAATGATCATGCCCGAGAAAAGCTGCCGGATCCTGTTAAAAGCAGCTGAAGAAACATAATGTATGAATAACAGGTACATGATTTCACAAAGTGTTAAAAAATCCATGGCCTCATGTTGGACCGTGGTCTTTGCTAACAGATCCAAACCTGGGGAAGGCGTTGCAGCACGAAGCATGCATCCATTTAACTTCTTGGTGCACAAACTAGCTCCAGGAGCCCGACCAGGCTCTGAGGCAGGAGACTGTGAATGCAGTTAAAGAAAGAGCCTTGGCTCCCCTCTTCCGCAGTGACCCCTGTGCGCTCGTTAAATTTTATTCTGCAGGTAATTGCTGACTAAAATCATAGTACATCTGCACTCAACCTTGCCGGTCAAAGGAGGCGTTGCCTGTATTACGGTTTCTTGCTACTGAAGGTATTTAATAAGAAGGGAGTCAGATTTTTGTGAGACCTGCATAATTGAGAGCTTTATTAATTGGCACAACAGAAATAGGATAGTATTGGTGATGGTTTACTTTTGAGGTAGAAAAGGGCATATATTTTCCATCAACAGGATAATAAATCAGTGGCAGCTTGTACCACACTAATTTGTTAAACGTGTTTTGAGGTGTTGGTAACGAAGATGGTTTTGCATCAGGTACCTTCATAAGGCATTTATGAGGTTACACCATTCTCACACTAAGCACATGTAACAATGTATTAGGTGATCCTAATAAAGTTAAATGATGCAAATGCAGTGTTTAACAAGTAGAATGAGCTATCTTGAATATACTATGCAATACATAACCATGAGCAGCTTACAAAGAACCTGTACGTTGTATTTTAGGGGCTAAAAGAGAGAGTTTTGACTGATGAGGTATTTTTGGAAACGCTTTCCTCACGGTAAGATCACGCTGGCAGCTATCATTTATCTCACTCTGACCAAGATAAAGATGATCTGAGTTTACAAGCAGTAACAAATCTTCTGCTGACTAGAATGCTCTCTAGTGCTCTCTTCAATTCCAGCAATAGGCTATTAACTCATTGCTTCATCAGCTTCTCCTGTTCAAAACTACAAGCACCTCCTCGTAACTCCGTTAGCTTTCACAGGACTGGAGGGACAAATGTGGTGGGGAACTAAGACCTGAGCAAGCTCTATCTTCCACTAGCTACTAACAGAAAACAAGAAAATAGAGAAGTGCTCTGCGTTACACACCCAGTGACTGTCCCTTCAAATAAATAAAAAAAAAAATGGTCCTCATTACTGTAAAGGGAAAATTAAGAGTGAGAAGTGACATGCTGAACAAGCAGTAAGTGGTTAACATTCCCCAGCCCTGCAGCCAGGAATGGGCACCAAGTAGGTCTTGTCCAGAAAAATGTATCAGCACCATCGCGCTGGCAGATACTGACAGAGGATGCCGGGATCCATCCAGGGAGGGATGTGGAAGAGGATGGACAATAAAAAGACAGGCATTGAGGTGACATCTGCAGAGGCGGCAGAACAATTTCCAGAGAATGAATGTCTTTTAATGAACCGAGGTTTCAGTTATCTATCCCCACTAGAGATCATTATTATGAGAAACAATGAGAGCCGCTTGTATCGCTTTCTCCCTGCAGGACATGTCTGAGGGAAAATAAACCTTTCTCCTTCTTCTCCAGCATCAGCTTGTTAGTGCCAGCACCGGCTGTAATTGAATAAGCTTTATTCAGATGATAGCTAAATTTAGCAGATATTAGCATCAAGTCTCTAGAGGGGTGAAAACGGGGGAGGAAAGCTTTAAATAAATAGACTAAAGTAATACTGAATAATAGATGCAATTTATGGCGGAGTGAACCTCTGTGCCTGAGGAGTCTGGCATAGAGTTACATCTGGGTTTTGGGGCCTTGCCAGGACAAACCATGACACGGCTGCTGGCCGCCCCCTTTCCACACGGCCTGCATTTATTATTATCCCTGTGATGGCGGGGGCCCCTCACAGCCCTGGCTCTGCTGCAGTGGCTCCATGATAATAGATGCAATTTATGGCGGAGTGAACCTCTGTGCCTGAGGAGTCTGGCATAGAGTTACATCTGGGTTTTGGGGCCTTGCCAGGACAAACCATGACACGGCTGCTGGCCGCCCCCTTTCCACACGGCCTGCATTTATTATTATCCCTGTGATGGCGGGGGCCCCTCACAGCCCTGGCTCTGCTGCAGTGGCTCCATGAAGATGTAACATAAAGAGGCTGGGGGCCAGCTGCCGGACCACGCTCTGCAGACCCCCCCCCCCCCCCCCCCCCCCCCGCCGCTGCTCCCTCTGCGCATGCGCGCCAGGCCGCGCGCGGCGCCGGAAGTGTGGCACTGCGGAGACGGAAGTGGTGTCACGCGCGGGCGGAAGTGTGGCGACGAGACGGAAGTTGGCCACCGGCGGCGGAGTGTGCGGTTATGTCGGCCTCCCTGTTGCGCCGGGGCCTGGAGCTGCTGGAGGAGCCGGGTGGGCCCGCGGGGACCGGGGGATGTGCGGGCGGGGAGGCGGTTATTCCCCGTGTACGGCTTGAGTAACCCCGTCCCTCTTCACGCTGCAGGCCGCAGAAAGGCCCCGCCGGGACTCCAGGGGGGATCGGACAGCCCCAGGGCGGCGGGAGCTGCGAGGCGGAGGAAGAGGGAGCAGGAGCCCGGCAGGAACAAGGCCACGGTCAAGGGTAGAGTCGTGACACAGCCTTCGCACCGGCTTCACTTGCGGTGTCCCGCAGCTCCACCACCACCACGGTTGCTTGTATCCATCCCTTCCCATCCTCCTGGGTGCCCTTCCGGTGTCCCCCACTTAAACACAGCCAGATCTGTGGAAGCACCCCTGTCCCTGAGCTGTAGCGGTGTCTCTTTCTCCCGGGGCCTTGCTGATCCCCCTGTGTCTCTCCTTTTGTGCTTCCTGGATGAGCAGCTGATGTGTTTTGTCCTACTCTTCTCTGACCTAGAGGAGTATCACAAGAAGAAGGCCGTGAATCACTTGAGAGAAAACCTGCAGTACATGTTGAAGGGGCGGTTTGTGGCAAACAAAGCCATCACAGAACAAGTAAGTCTGTCACTTCTTTGTCTGGGGGTCTGCTTCTGCTGAAGAACACAGGTGAATGGTAATCAGCCCCAGGTCTTCCAGCTCAGACCCTGTGCAAAGGAGTCAAGTCCGGTTTCCGTCTGGAAGTGGCCTTGAGGAATTTCTGTGTGCAATTTCTGTACTGAGCTTTAAACTCTTGTTGCTGTGTTGTCCCCCACAATGTTCTCTGATACTAGATAAAAATCTATTGACAACTGTTGGCTTTTCCTAATTACCAAAGATCTTTCATAGCTTCAGCTGGCAAAGAAACCATGGTTCAGACCCTCTCCTTACTGGTGATTGATTTGTCCTTTTCTGTAGCTGGAGGCTGTTTATCAAGGAACCAGATGGGCTGCTGGCTCATGTAATAGGAATTTTGTCTTGAATGGTGTGTCTCATAACCTGAGAATTTAACCAGTGGTCTTCCCCAAAAGGTAGGCCTGTGCCAGGATTTGAAGAGAACAGCTGACACGGCTAGAATCTTGGGCTATTTCTATGAGATACGGGCTTTTAACTTACATAAACAAACCAAGTGGTTTAAGCCAGTGTTTCTCAAGCTGGAGGTTGTGAAAGGAGGTGATGGTGTATTAGAAAATGCTGAGGGAATTCCAACAACTTGCTGGGTTTTCAGGTTGTCTTGTGGAGAGACAGGATAAAAGAAGGTCACAGATTTAGAAATGTCTGAATTGAAATCAGTGTTTCTATCTCTGTGACAGTTACCAGGGAGTAGGTTTCGTATTTGGCTCCAAATAGTAGGTTGATATTTGCTGTGGTCCCAGTGACCTGCTTTGGTTAACATTGGTGATTGCCTCTCACTTTTCTTTGGAGGCATTCCAGGATATAGCAGGGTACCAGCAGAATAGCAGGGATGCCTCAAGTGAGCTTGAAAATCACCAGTTTGTGGTTTGGTCTGGATAACAATAACTATTGTTTTTTCCTTTTTTATTGTCTGAAGGTTCTTGCTCAGAACAGAGGCAGGAAATCGAAAGATCAGCCTCCAGAGAAGGCAGCAAAGAAGAAACCTGAGGGCACTGTCTTTACTGAAGAAGACTTCCGTAAATTTGAGAGAGAATACTTTGGAAGACCGTAAACAACATGACGGGGATTCTCGCAACTCCAGTCTTTCTGCAGCTGAGTGTTCAGCACACAGGACTGGCAGTTTTCTCTGCATGATTGAGATGGGACATGTGTCTCTGTCAGCAAGTGCTTTAATGTCACACTTGCAAAGAAACTCTGCATCTCTGCAGAACTTGTTACTGGCCAGCTAGAGCTGTGGAGATTCTCTTGGCTCTCAGATATGTTGTCCTTATAGTCACCAGCCAACGTGTCTTGCATTCTTAATGTAGAAGAGTGGACCAAGCCAAATATAAATCTCATTCCCGTTCCTCGGGGTGTAAGGCTTCTGCTACCTGTGTTATTTGGCAGGGAGCATTTAAAGTGCTGTATCTGAATGGAGAAATGTTTTGGACCAGCAGTAATATATCATCAGAAGGGAAGGATGCTTTGAAAGACTGTTAAACCTGAGTAGCCTTGCAGTTTCTGTTCTTATCACAGGCTCTGTCAGGTTTTTCAGTCATAGCAAAACCTTTGTATATGCTGTTTGATAAAATAATTGTTGCAGACACTGCCTGTCTTCACCTTTGTAATAGTGATTGCTATGACAGGCTATGATTGATGAAGACAAACCATATCACTTTTCTGGATCCAGGCATACCCTCTCTTGAGGGTGGCTCAGTTGTATGAATGGCCTCTCCAATTCATGCTGACACATGTATTTAATCTGACATGCTCAGGCCTCCAAAGAGTGCAGGCTGGAATAGAGACGACTTCTCTGTTTTGCCTGCTCACGGTCTCCCCTCTCCAAGAAAGAGGCCTGACATGGAGAAAGTTGTCCTTTGGATGCTTACACCTGAGCCTCCCACTGAGGTTCAGCCTCACTAGGAGGGCACCGCTGCTGGGTGCTGCCAGCTCCTGTAGCCAGGCAGGGTTGTAACCCAAACGTTAAAAGCTTCTGAGCCAGAGGTTGTGGTGCTGGGCTGAAGGGAATTATTTTTTTTTTGTTAGACTACTGCTGCAACAAATAGAAGGCCCAGCAGGTGGGAGTGTTGTCCCAGACACTTTTCCTTGCTAAATCAATATGCTACTGGGGAGCTCCTGCCCCTGCTCTTTCCTGCCCCTTACCTAAGAAAATGGGAAGTGTGCGATTCTGTGATTCTGTTCCCTTTGGAAAAAAAGAGGTAAGGAGAAGGACTAATATCAAGCTTCAGTTAGACTCAGGAGTTGATTACAAGGGGCTTGGCTGACCTGAGCAGCAGCTGTCTGGATGTCAGTACTGGAGGGAATTTGATATCCCTTCCTTGCCCTCTGATTATAATCCCTGGTGCTGTCCTCTTAAGTCTGCACCTCCTCTGTTGTGTTCTGTTCCTCTTGTCTGCATGGGAGGGAAAGTCACCCAGACGTATGGGGTCCAGACAGAGGAAACAGTGAACATAACTGAAGTGTGTGTACTTGAAATTGTGCAATAGCACATGGGAGGGGATTTCTTGTAATAGGATCAAGTTCAACTGTCTGCAGCCAAAAGCAGTAAATATAGAACTGTTCAAAGACCAATTTCCTTCCTTTTCAGTTTGTTCTTATTCCCAAAGTTAAAAAAGACATGTAAAAAAAAAAAAAGAGAAATGGGAACACTATTGTTTGAAAAAGCAGTTGAGCAAAATGTATATGCAGCAGATGTCTCCCTAAAGCCTCTGTGCTTGCTGCATGAGCTGGTCTAACACGTGCAGCTCTGCGTGGAGCTGTGATGGAGGCTATTTAACAGTGTGAAAAAGCTGGCTGTGCCACAGCTTGACTTTTGAAGGGTGTGGATTTCCGGATTGTTATTTTGTTTCATGCCCTCATCTTCAGTATTTGGCAGTTCCCTTGACCTTACAGAGGTCCTTGATGTCACCCCCTGCACTTGCTTTACAAGCGCCTCCTACACACCCTGGTTTCTTGTGGTTGTTCAGCTCCTGGCCCTTCTTCTGCAGGCTGAGGAAACCAAATCCATCCTTTGCTCCAGAAAGGAGCACTAGGGTAATGTGGTTCACTCTCTTTTGTACAAAACCCAGCTTTTTTGCTTGAAAATGGAAGCAAACAGGAAAGCTGCTCTTTTAAAGTTAATGAGGAACCTTAAAGTGGGGCCCAGAGCAGTTTTCCACAAGGATAACACACACACACACACACACACACACACACACACACACACTCTCTCTCCCTGATCTGTGGAGTTTTAAAGTTGCATGGGAGCTCTCATTACTGGCTGGAAAGACTATTAGGGCCAACACAAGTAATCAGCATACTTGTGGCTATATGCAATGAGATGTTATATTGTTGAAGAGGGTAAAGGTATTTGACAGACTGGCTTTTGCCATCTGAAATCAAACTTTGTTGTACAGCCAACAGTATCCTTAAATAAATTAAACTTCATCTTGCGTGAGGAAAGAAAACCGAGCAGAAGTGAATGGATGGTTCTAGATAAAGCATCTTCTGCAAGGGCAAAGATCTGGCATGTTCTAGCCTTGGCCTTCCACCTCTCTAGCAGAGCTGGAGCACCTGCGAAAGAACAGCAGTGCCACCTGCACCCTGGATAGGTAAGGACAAGAGGTGGCCCCTGAGGGGAATGTCTTCAAGCTAGAGGGGGGAACAGGTACCAGCCTGTTGCAGGTCCCTGGCGGTAAGCTAAAGCTAAGCGTCCTCTCACATGCCCAACAGTCTGAGCCACGGTCGAGTTATGCCTAGAGCATGGCAGCTCCTCGGCTGTGCTGGGACCCCGGGAGGTGGCTATCTTAGAGCAACTTCTGCCGTCTCTCTGTTCCTTGCAGCCAGACTTTGCTGCCCCACAAAAGAGAGAAGAAGGGATCGGGGCAGGAGCAGCTGCCATCGCTGCTTTTCCTACTTGGCCTCCGACTGCCGGTTCCCACGCTGGAAGCTAACATGCTGGAGCCCGCAACCCTCAGACCTGCTGGATGGCATTTGTCTCCCACGCAGCTGCGAGCGGCAGCGCAAGGAGGCATCCGGCTGCTGCAGGGTGAGGGCCATGTGCTGGCTGAGCTCATCGGGCTGCTGGCTCTCTTCCCAGCTCTACGACACCAGCTGAGCATCCTGCAGCAGAAAATAAAAGGTAGCTGAGCTAGGGAAGAAGGAGGAGGGTGCCATCTTACCGTGCATCCCCACCCACGTGCAGCAGGGAGTCGGAATGGGAGGCGGCGGCAGCAGCAGCAGCAGCATTAATATAAATGCAAATAAAAGCTCTGGAGTGTTATTAATGTGGTAGAAGCTTTCCAGGGAAATGGTTTAGAGGAGGCAGAATAGTTCCCAGATGCTCAGTGTTGAGCTAGCTTGTTGTGAGTAAGATTCATCAAGCCGGTTAATGGCCTATTGCTCCCTCTGTTACGTGAATGAAAAGCACACAGGAAAATTTGTTCAGATGGGTACAAGCTACTGTAAGCAGATACAGCCTCTGCTGTATGAGCAAGTCTTTACTCCTTTAGTGTAGGAAGCAACAACAGCTAATAGCAGCGTTGTATGTGTATCGGGAGGGGGGGTGAGAACTGCAAATCTAAACCAAGAAAACGTGTTTGCTCAGGACACTAACCAATTTCTTGCCTCTGAAATGGCACAACAGTAACAAACCTGGCTGCAAATGAACAAAGGCAGACTGTAAAACTCACTCAGGTAAACAAGACTTGAAATGCTGAAAAAGCTGCGGGGGAAGTCTTTGTGGCAGTCTTTATGACTGACTGCCATTTCAGCCTTGCTGATGACCAGCACAGCATCAGCACCTACAATGCTGATGGGCTCCTGAAGGCCTCGGGTAAGGGACTGGTTATTTACTGTAGACAGGGTGCACAGCCGCAGCGCCCTGAGTAACTCACAGAAGAGAAGTTCCTGCAAAAGGAAGTTTCTCATTTTGAGGGCAGAAGACCCATCAGTTAAATTAAAAATGGGGAGTGTAAAAGGCAGCAGGCTGCCTCATGCCTGCTTACAGCTTAAAATGTGGAACTCCAGCCAAGCCAGGCTGAGGGGTTAGTAGGTTTGAGACAGATTAAAGGTTTGCATGTCTATCCATAGTTACATTAAAGAGGATTAACAGTGCCAACCACTCACTGGTAGGGGCAGGGGAAATAAAAAGCATGAAGGTTGCTCTGCAGCTGTCTACAGGGTTACACGCACCTTGTTCTGAACGAATTAGCTGTTGGCAGGGCTAACCAGTAACCTAGCCAAGCTGGTCTGTCCTGAGCTGCACCGTTTGTGTGCCAGAAAGTTCATTTACCTCCTTTAATGGGAGGCAAAGACTAGGTCTCTTTCTCTGACTGTCCATGTGCTGCAATGGAGATGCAGAGGAGTTACAGAACTGGGAGATTCTCTGCCCTATATAAATTAAGCTGGCGCGTCTGCTGCGCTTGGAACTCGCTCCCTGCCAATTTTTAAAAGGGTGTGTACATGTAAAAGAGAGGAGAAGAGCAGCTGAAGGAGAAATGAGAGGCGGCTAGCCATTACTTGGAGAACACGCACCTATGTAATAGGGAAATTGGAGCTTGTGGGTAGAGCCAGCTTCATTCGGTGGCTTGTGGGACTGCATGAGCGCACTGAAAATAATGCAAAGACAGCATACCTGGGATACCTGAGCAGCCCAAATAGGATTGCTGAGGACCAAACTCCTCTGTTAAATCACAAGGCCCAACTAAACAGCCTGGAGCATTTCAACAGGAAAGTCAGCAAAGATGAGCTTTTTTGGCCCAGCAAGGGATGCTCATGGCAAGACCCCAAGACTGTCCTTGCACTGGAAATGAAGTGTAACAGGAGTATATGTTCCGGGCTGCACAGCAAGGCTGTGAACACATCAGGAGGATGGAGGAAGGTAGGTTGTCTCCAAAAGCTACTTGAACTGTATTAAGAAAAAAATTAGTATACACAAGATGGAAATTATGCATATAGGAAGGACAGTGCAGATCCTGTTGTTTCTGAAGGCCTAAGCCTACAGAAAGATAAAGAAAACTGGTGTTATTCTGACCAAAAATTTACAGATTTCCCATCCCCCCAAAAAAGGCTTTCTGAATTAGAAACAGGTCTAGTAAGTGGAGAAGAAGGGTGGCTACACAGCAGTGAGGGTTGAGAAAGCAAGGGACATCTTGAAACCGAGAAAGCGTATGCATATGTCAAGAACAGAAACTGGACCATACCTAAAAAAAAAAAGGTGAGACAATACTTAACAAGGCTGTGGGAAACGCGGGTGAGACAAGAAGTGTATTTTTTTTTCAAGAGGCACATGACTGCAAACATGGGTTTGGGGCTAGGGGAGAGGGGACTTGTGGCCGGACTATCACTGTGTGGAATCATTTCGATCAGAATAACCCACCTTTTCTTTCTACCAGTCCAGCTCAGTGGCACTGAGGGAGCATTCATCTCACAAAGGACAGCCTGTCCTTGCAGCTATTTCTGGGCTTTCTGCCATGGCAAAAGCTATTTGGAAGATTTTATTGTCATTCTTTCTTCATTCTGCAAAGCTGCAGCTGGGGATTTATTCTTGTAAGTGCAAAGGTGCATCTGGTTCTCCACACAGGCATGTGATGAAGTCAGCGGTGGTGGTTTCGTCTTTTCATTTGCAAACAGAAGTGCAAGCACCTGGGTCTCTCTAAAGGCAAGGGCGAAGAGGAAGGTAGTTATAAATATCGTGATAACAGCAGAAACAAGTGCGTGAGAAGAGGCCGTCTGCTGTCAGAGCAGCTTTGCGAGCCGTGAACCACTGGGGCTTGTTTGGTTGTGTGGGGGAGCATCGGACTCCGGTTTACCACGTAGTACAAAATTACCTAAGGGATCGGCAGCCTGAGGGTCATGCACGCTGCGCATGTGAAGTCCACTTCACTGCCCTTAATTCAGAGGAAAAATAACTGAGACAGAAATCCCACTGGCCGTGCCAACTTCAGATTCAAATAGCTTTTATATAACGTAGATTGGGGGAATTCTGCTGTTTCCAAGTATGTAGAAGAACTGGGCTCCTCCGGGGGTAGGTAAAGCCTGCATTTCATGCACTACAATCTATTTCTAGACATGGAATCATGCTGTGTGCAAGCCACAAGGATTTGACTGAAGCATATTTGTTCTGAGAGGCTGTGAGAAAAAGGCAGCAGCTCCTGCAGTTTGCAAAATACAAAATCAGTCACCAGGCAGGAGGCCACGAGGCTCTTTCTCCCGTGGGCTGGGGTTTGTGATGCGACGGTGTCCTTGGTGTTCCTGTGGCAGGTTGGGCAAGCTGCTGGGCTGCAGAGCCAAGTGGTGTGATGCTGGCTGTGCCTAACGCAAGCCCTGGGGAAAAGGCTAAATGAAAAACGCGGAGGAAGAGTCCGCCCTAATCTCTAGCCAGCGTAAAATCTTGACTAAGTTACTATGTATGGAAACACGGCGTCATTTCAGCAGGCGTTGCATAAGGTTACCATATTGTCTGCCTCTGCAAAGCTGCAAGCTCAGAGCCTCAGCAAACAGTAACGATGCCAACCACTCTTTAAAGGCAGGTTTCTGGTTCTCCTGCAAGGAGCCCTATAAAATGCATACATGGATACACAGGGCAGAGAGCAAAGCAGCACGGGTGCGTCATGTATTCCTTGTCTCCTGTTCCAGCTCTTATCTTCATTCCCTGGAGTGAGGGTGATTTGGTAAATTGGAGGCACATATTCTCTGGAGGGCTGTAGAAATGAGAATCGTGTATTTACTGGCCAGCACAGACATTTCCCCATCTGCCTGAAAAGCATGGACTCAAAGAAAAATTTATTTTAGTCAGGGCTGGCTCGCAGATGGCCCTGCCACGGCGTGGGATGGGGGGGTAGATGTGCTGACAATCTTTCCAGGCTTTGGGAAAGTTGAGTAAGGGCTACAAAATACAACCACTGCCCCCGCAGCCTGGGCTGCTGCCAGGTTTAAAGCAGAAGTTGCAATGGCTCTAAGGGAAGTGGAAGTGGTTGCCTCATGTTTGGAAGGGGGGATCAGTTTGGGGAGGAGAAGAGTTTGCCCTGCACAGAGAAGCCACTTGCTCATACACTCCTACCGGTTACCATGTTTTCTGTGGCTCAGCTGAGACCAAGCACCTTAAAGCGCAGATTTGACCCATCAAGGTCAAGACTGTCTGCTCATGGGGGCTTTCCTGCCTCTAATTATCCCTGTTGTCCCCAGCCTTGCAGGTCCAGCTGATCTGAAAGAAACCTATTAGGTCACTTTACCTCCCAAAACAGAACAGTCCCTCATCCCTGCATGAAGTCACCAGTAAGCTCTGGAGAGCAAAGCAGCACCTCAATGTGCTTGCCAACTTGCAGCACTTTGCACTTGTATCATGCAGAGCACTTACCTGGGAGGTGAGAGATGGGCAGATGCTCCCATGAAGTTGAGGAGTCCAGGCTGAGACTACTCAAACAACAGAGAACTCGCTGCCTCACAAAACCCAAGGTGAGGGTCTTGGGTACCCACACCACTTCCAATGTGGCATGAGCCCTATCTCCTGACAGGGAGACTTTTCACTGCAATTTAAATAGCAGCCATGTCACCCAGGCACCAGCTGCAAGCACAGACAGGTCCAGTCACCACCGAGGGCCTGGCCCGCTCAGCCCTTGCCGCCAGCGAGCAGAGCTGCCTGCTGCCAGCAGGTACCTTCTTGTGGGAACAAGTACAGAATCCGCAGATGCGGTGGCTGAGCTGGACACCGGAGATATCCTTTGTCTTGTTGGCCGCAAGCCATGGGAGAAGTAAAACAAGAGCTAAGTGAGAAAAGCGAGGTCAATGCTATGACCAATGGACTTTGCAAGATGAGCTTTGCTTCCATATAAGGCTTGGACCCTGCGCTTGCCAACTAGCTAGGTGATAAGAGAAAAGCAGTGGCTTTGTTTTGTGATCAGTATAAAAGTTAAAATAAAAAATTAAATAAAGTGATTCCGATTCCGCTTCAGCTTGTGCATGAACTCGGAGTGCGTGCCTTCATTGCCACACCTTCTTCATCTGCCTGCCAGAGGAGCCTCACGCAGCAGCCCCCCGAGCACAGGGCTCTTACCCCACCTCACACACCAGCTAATGGCTTGGGTGATGCATAGGGCTGGAGGACTACGGCCCTAGCTTGAGTGGCAGAAACCTGGACCCCCACGAGGCTGCCATTGGACAAAAAAAAAATATATTCCTATTTTAAATAACATTAGGGACCTTTTCCTTGGAGCCCAGCGCTGGCTGAAGCTGGTCCCAAAGCCATCGCGCTGTGTGTGCGTGCCAGCCGGGCTGGGACATGCAGGTGCCTCAGCTGGGCAGCTTACAGGGTCGTGTCAGTGCAAGTGAGAAGGAATCTTAACTCCTCAAGGGAAGGACGCGCACGTCCACGTGCCAAAGCTGCCTCCAGCAGGCCAAGAAGGGATTAGGAGCTGCTAAATCTGGGTATCAGTGGCCAAAAAAAAAAAAACCCCTCACACACAAAATGATTAAAAGCGGCATGTCCCAAATCCTCTATTAGCAGAGGATGGCCACACTGGATGTGGAATTTCGCTGACGTTCAGAATCTCACAGAACCAGAACCCACCACAAAAAAATTTCCTTGCATCGAGTGGCTGGACCATAAAGTTACCCGCTAACAGAAGGGCCCTAATTGGTAACTTCAGGCAGAAACCACCCTGCCACACAGGCTCCTGCCTCTCATCGTTGTGTTTGAGTCCTCTGCAGCATGTAACGGGCAGGCGCCATCA